CTTTTTTTGGCTATGATATACTATATAAAATACTATGGCTAGGGTGTCCAACAGAAAACAACACCAAAAAGGCATACTATTGGACTTTAAACCCTTGTACTGTTATTTAAAAGACCTGCATTGTTTAAAGTCGTTGAAATAGACCAAATTTCTCCAGAGAAATCAGATTCACATTCAGGACCTGAAGATTAAAATAGCCTCTGTAGCCTCTTCTTCGTGCATTCACTTGCACTGAGCTCTCACATGCGCTTGTCTTGGTGGGAGTCTGCGTGTTTTTGAGCTGCCTAAATACCAATGCTTTTAACATCAAAGCTTCAAGCGAATTTAAACACCCTGAAACTCACCAATTATATTTTGAAGTGATGTCCAACATAACAGGAAATGATTCAATGTTTCGCTTCCACACAATATCCTTTTTAGACTTATGAAGACTGACAGTTAATAAACCATTGCTTGCTTGTAATTGTAGTTTGTGAATACGGCTGTCTCAGTATACCACTGCTACTCAAAATCTGCAGCTTTTTTTTGGTTGGAAATGACTCTGTTTTGGAAAGTTGAGAGTGAGGGTCTATGCCAAGCAATATTCTAAAAGCACATACATAACCAAGGGTATGTAATATTCAAAGTGTGTCTTCTTAGCTAAAATATGATGCAAGATTATGCCATCCAGTGAAAGCAGACCAGAATCTGAATACATATAGCATGATATTTTCCCTGGATCCTCTTCAACATCTAAAAATGTCTTATTTACTTCCTGTTTATGCGGCTAACACAGGATTAACCGTATCTCTTAATATGATTCTATTAATATTGGTAGCTTTGTTTGAGTATTTGAACAAGGAAAAATATTGCTTGTAGATCAGAAGTAAGAAAGATGATGTATTAAAGGAGCTTTGCCCAATTTTAAACCCTGAGTGAACTAGTTTGAATTTGATCTCTTCTCTCTTCTAATATGGTCCCATTTTTATACAGCGCTTCGCCAGCTTCACGGCTCTCAAAGCACTTTACATCAAGGAACCACTCACCCATTCACACCATTCATACACCAGTGTACACAGACGCTCGGTGCTAGGTGGTTTAAGTGTCTTGCCTGAGGACAATAACAACAGCATTCATTAGGGATGTAAAGATATCCAAATCTCACGGTACGATATTATCACGATATGCATCTCACAGTACGATATTTTCATTTTTTGATGAGGCTAATATAATTGTAGATGGGACACTTTTTTGCTTTTAAAATTGATTGAAGATTGTGGTGTGAATTATTTCTATCATAATCCCACAAATTCAAGTAAAAAACATATCTCTTCTACATTTGCACTGAAATGAATCATAAGGTATGTAATTTTCTGTGATTATAAGCTGTTGATACTAGGGATGGGCATGATTAGTCGATTAATCGATAATTGATCATTAAGAATTTCATCGATTACATTCATTTTAATCGACAAACCGAATGTAGGTTGCTGTGCGTAGCGTAGGGTGGGCAAATGGGTCCATACATGTAGCTCTCTGCACTCAGAAGGAGCGAGCAGACACAAACAGTCAGTCAGTCTGCAACGTGCCGAAGCGTAAATGCATATTTAACGATGACTTGTACAAGAAATTCCACGCTTTCCATTCTGGTCGGAACAAGTGTGAAGTCATGTGCACAGTGTGCAAAGCAGGCACATATCTTTTGGTGTCCAGTGGGAAAAAGCTCACCAGAACACCGAAAACATGAAAAAGCTTTGCCAGGTGAGAGCAGCACAATGTCGATGACGAGTCCCCACCTCCCATCCCCCGTACGGTGTCCTGGTTTTGACAAACGCAAATATGGTCACACTAACTTGTATTCCACTGAGCGCATTAGCGCACAAGAGCTGTTTTTTTTCCCTTTGCTTAGTTTAGCCATGAGGTTTTAAGTTTCGTTTCTGTGAGAGTTGCGCACATCTGCATTAAACACATTATAATGTCAAAAGGGCTGATGTGGCTCTAGAGTCGTTACAGTTTATATGTCGTAAAGTTGAATTTATTTATGCAGATTAGTAGTGCAGATATTAATAATAATTATGATAATTTTAATATAAAAACGTTAATGATTAATCAATAATCGATCGTTAATTCTCCTGACAATTGATTAAGAAAATTTTATCGAATGCCCATCCCTAGTTGCTAATATAAAACCATGCATTTTAGCAAAGGAACTTGTGATTTGATATATTGTGACAGTCCACGATATTATTGAGAGATTTTTGACGATACAATATCACAATATTTCAGTTATTGTTACATCCCTAGCATTCATCGAGAGCGAGATTCAAATTTCTCATCCAACTACGCGCCTGCTTATACCACATAGTGTAAACAGTATACCTGACCTATAAGAATAAAAATGTCAGCTACATGGAATGGCTTTTTTCTTTCTTTTTTTTTTTACATAATTGTTGAGTATTATCTTTCCGTCTATTTCCCTCTGCTCTGTTCTCCACCTACTGATAAACCGTCTTGAATGAGCTAAATGAAAGCATGCCTTAAGCTATCCTTTATGAAAACGAGGGAATTGTTGGTTTAGCTCACCAGTCATCAAACACACTTGTTCTCGAGACAAAGGTAGTCATTGATAGTTTGTGTATGAAAAGGAGCCAGGCTGGATGTGACATTTTCAGTTATGCATATTTAGTGAGTCCAAGAAGCATGTGTACTGCAGATTTTCACAGTTGTGTTTTTTTTTTTTCTTCTAACTGATAATATGCAAGCTTCTATTGCTGGGTTTCAGATCACAATATTTTATAGGGCAATATTATTTAATACAAAGATGGGAGAGCTGAAATGAGATTGTAATAATAGTTGTAATTGAGTGCAAGGGTAAAGTCAGGTTCTATATTTGTGAATTGTATTACATTTGTCTACATCTCCAAAAATCAAAATGCTCTCGTTCATCTTGTGATGTCACGAAGCTGTATTTTTCAAGTTAACACCTTTTACCTTTTGTTCAGTAGATTGGCAATTCCAGGGCTGAAATTGTCCAAATGATTCCAGAGAAAATGTATGGCGTTCAAAAAACTGTGGATTTGGTTTTCCGTTCCGAAGAATGCAGCCTAAAAATGCAGGATTAGTGTGTTAATCCTGTATGTGAATGAAACAAAACACAACAACTCCATGTTTTTGATGATGAGAAAAGAACATTATAACATAGATCATTGTAACCTAGAACATTATAACATAGAGAAAATAACACAATATAGGCCCCTTAAATTAAATGGAAGTCCAGTTAACTCAAATGAACTCAAGTCTGCGTCATCTCTTGGCATGGCAAAGCTACAATGGATTTCTAGAAATATTTCTGATCCATGAATCTTCCTTTCATATGAGGAGAAAATCTTTTATCTTTTCCACAATGAGGAATGTTATAGTACAAGGTGAAGATTAAATAAAGCCCAAAACCAGACACTTTATTTATTATAATGCTGCTGATTTTTAAGTCTGTGTAGAGCACAGTTTTCGCACAACAGAATTTAGTTGTGTGTACGCTTGCATTTCTGAATGACAATAAAGTCTGTCCAAGGCTCTAAATACTCTGGATACATAAATATTCCAAAAGGCATATTAAAAACAAATAAGCGTGGTGCAGTGTTTCACTGTCTAGTTTAAACTTGCATTATTATGTGTTTTTATAGCCAAAAAGATCCTGCAGACCTGCCTCTCCGTAGACCTGTAAGTTAGTCTGCAGCTCTCCAGTTTTATGCCCTACGGTGGATCATTCCAGACAAAGCAATAACATCTTGCAGACAAGCGTGGCAGACCCTTCACCAGAAATGTTACACAGTGCACCTTTAAATAAGAGCAAATAAAACATAGAATAGACTAGAATAGAACAGACTTTGAGTATACTGCTACAAAAGCTATTATGTACAATAGAGAATGGGCACAGTATATCGACAACAAAACATTACATGTCAGCAGCATTTTAAAGGTCCTGTATTATGTGAAATTGACTCTTGTGAGTTTTAAGCCATGTTGTAATGTTGTTAGTATTAGTCTTTCTTCATCTCCAAAACTCAAAATGCTCAGTTCCATCATGTGAAATCTGTGTATCATTTGTTCATTCATTTTTTTCAAAATAAAACCAAAAATAAGAAAATTAAAAAACAGCTATTTATTTTTCATTATTTGTTTCTAAAACCAAAATGAAAAAACGGATGATGATTCATTTTTACAGTTTTTGATTTTGTGTTTAAATGAATAATGGAAAATGGTTTCCTGTTTCCATGAATTAAACTACGATGCCATACTGAACCAGGACTGAACCAGGACTGAACCAGGACTGAACCAGGACTGAACTAGGACTAAAACAGGACTAAACCAGGACTGAACCAGGACTGAGTGTCGGGACGGGTCCAAAGGTTCATCCACATACACTGTTGGGTGATCAGAATTGAGACCGGGACCAAACTGGGACCAAGACCAGGACCAGACTGGGACTAGGACTAGGACCAGACCGAGACTGAGAGCAGGACTGAGACTGGTTTAGACACGGATTATGTGATATCATGAAGTGGTAGTTTTCAAGTTCAAAGCTACCTTTTGCTTTTGTTCAGGGGTGAAAAAATTATTCGAATGAAGGTGTATGGAGTTTAAAAACAAAGTGGAGCACTTCCTGTATTACCACATGACATCACAAGGTGGAACAGAGTGTTTTCAGTTTGAGAGAAGAAATCAACCTAAATATGCAGGGTTTGTGTTTCGAATGAAACAAAACACAACTCCACGTATGTTTTTGCTGAGAAAACAACATTGCAACATATATCAGAAACTAGCATAATATGGGCCCTTAAATTAATTATCGATTGAGCCTTGTCAAAAAAAAGAAAAAAAAAACATTTTACTCAATGTCTCTACCATCAGGTGAATAAAAGGAAATTCAATGAAGACTTTGGCTTGTGATTCGTATTAATGCCACATCCTCACTGTGCTGTACTAATGTATTTTTTATCTCCCTTCTCTTTTTTGTTCAGTTCCTCCCAAGATCTATGACATCTCGTCCGACATCACGGTAAATGAGGGCAGTAACGTGTCGCTCATATGTATGGCCAGTGGGAAACCCGAGCCCACCATTTCCTGGAGACACATAACCCCAACAGGTGAGTGGGCTTCACCTCTGCTGTACGATCATATGTGTGTGTGTATGTGTATGTGTATGTGTGTGTGTGTGTGTGTGTGTGGGTGTGTGTGAGTGTGTGTGGGTGTGTGTGTACTGATGAGTGAGTGGAGCGGGCCAGGGGATGTGGAGTGGAGGCATTATGGTTGGATGCATGTAGACAGGAAATGAGAAAGCAAGAAAAGGATCAATAGGTGATAGACTGAACGGAGAGGGGGAGGTCTGGTTAAGTTGCAGATGAGAAAATTGGCAGGCGTGGGGGTGGGGAGGGTGCAGGGTTACGTATGATTAGATGGAGAGATGGGGAAAAGGCTTAATCATAAAATCAAGTGATGTAATTGAGGTAGCGGACTTGAGCGCTGTATTTCCATTCACCCCTAGAGTCCATCAGCACTAAATCATTATTGATACTTGCAGTGCAGTGACGCTGGGGATGTTTGGCATATATGTGTGTGGGGGAATGTTCAGCGGTTATGGAGACACAATTTATACATTAGCAAACACTCCCTAAAAATACAAAATGGATTTAAACAACATATTTTAGGAGCCCGTGATCAATGAGCATGCATGGTCCTGTTTAAATGTTTAATTTTCTACAGAAAGGTGAGCGACTAACCAAAGCTTGTGACGGTAATGTCATTTGAGAGAGACTTGCTTTACTGTATAAATCATCTCAAATCTGTTATTTATGGTCAGATTGTGTTGAAGAAATCTCAGATTAACACCCCCTGGGAATGTGTATTGTTTGACCTATAAGGGGCATTTGTGAGTGAACTAACTACACCAAAAATATCCAGAATACTAATTTTGAGTAATTATACAGTTTATTGAGGTATTCAGATCATTGTTACTAAAATCACAGGAACATGTTGGTATTTCAACACCCAATTTAGGCTTCAAACTGCACGGTATTTATGAGAAAAATGGAAAACACAGCTCTTAGTGGGAGCATGTGCGATGTTTCCCCCTAATTAGTTATAAATAGATGTAGAACAAATGGTGCAATAAACATAAAGCTGCTTTCAATCCTCTGTGCATTTATTTACACCATAATTTAATGCATCTCATTGTGAAAGTTCTGTAAGTATTCAGAATACAGAACTCTGACTGGCCCATTGTGACACAGGTATACAGTAATACTTTTTGGAGTTGCCTGTGTTATTTAATTTTTCTTTTTGTATTGTTTCCTTTTTAAGTATTATTCACTTAACTTTACAATGACAACCTGGCCATGCATAATGAACGGTGAATAGATAAATAATTAAAAATGCCACAGAGGTGAATCCTTTAGACAAACACTGATGCCTTATTTATTTATTTACTGTCAAAATGTAATAAACTTTATTTATCTTATACAGAAATCTCCTTTTAAAATAAAATATAAAAAAATAACCTCACCAAGACTACCCATTCAAAGACAAAGAATAAAGTTCCTGTCCGATCCTGACAAAGTTTATACATCATGCGTCCAAATAAGATAGAATATAATATTGAAGTGAAAACCCATGAAACAATAAATAAAGTAGCAGATGGTTAATTATATAATAACCAGGTAAAAGTGTGGAAGTAAAGGACCTCCAGTAAAGAGTTAATTGCGAATAGAAGGGGAGCTCACTTGTTGTACTGTTTGACCACTGTTGTGTTATGCGTCCCACATCACTTTGGACTGGAGAGAAAAGGTTTAATGAGGACTTTGTGAACAAAACCTATACTGCCTAAGGATGTTTCAAACTCTGAAACATGTCACCATGCCCTCCCTCTCTGCATTATGTTATATCCCCAGTTATTATCCAGGTTACTGTGACCCATTCTAGTTTGTTCTTGGGTTTTTCATATACATTTAAAACAGCTTCCAACTTTTAAAGGACACACATTACACAGTTTTCTAATCCATGTTATAATTTCCTAATAGTTTCCTAATCAAAAATTAAACCAGAGTTGTGTTTTGTTTCATGTGTTTCATGAGATCTTTTGTCAAACAGAAAAAATCTGTTCCACCTTGTGATATCTACACGAATCATTTGGATAATTTCAGCTCTGGAATTACCAATCACTCTAAACTAAAGGTAAAAGGAAGCTATGATCTTGAAAACTAATAAGGACAAAAAGGGTTACTTTTAGGAAACATTATAACAGCTTAAACCTTATGGGAGTCCATTTTGTATAATACAGGACCTTTTAAAGTTTTGTGTTTCAGTTCAATACAGACTCAATTAACTCAGTGATTCATTAACTTAATTCAATACAAAGGGACTAACAAGTGATAATGCACTATTTTAGTTCTACTTTTGCTCTGTTTTAACACTGGTACGTTGGTTCATTCACTGACACCAGAGTAGTTTTGTGTCTGCTTTGTCAAAGTAACCAAGACTACTCGATTAAATTAATGATCTCAAAGTGCTTTGGAAAACACTTACATTGTGCACTTGGGTTGCTTGAGTTAGCTTTTAGTAATGACTGTTAAACTTGTTCAGTAAATTGAATACAGTTGTGAGAGTCTGCTTATTGCCGCCTCCATAATTTTGTGTCAGCCTACAATTTGTCTCTGTTTGTGACTAATCATTTAATGTGCATTAGCAAAGAGTGTCATTATAGTTGTTCTCATTTATTATGTGAGTTGGAACTATTAATTTCTTTCAAAACCTGAATGTTCATTTTTTTCCATTTTCATTGCGGGGAACTTAACTGTTGCATAAGAGACCCCCCCATTCCTTCCACTAGCAGTCCCAACTCATTTTCATATTAATGGATTATCTCCTGCTGTGCCTATCTGATGGCGGTGAGGATGGCTGCATTTATCTTATGGCTGTCATATCCTTCCTCTCTGGTGTGCTCACCCTGATGGCATTAGGGAGTTTTTCTGAAGATGATCAAAAGAGCCCTATCCGCCGAGTCCGAGTGGCAGTCACTCATCGGGCTTTGAAGTGCCCACACTTTGAAGTATGCCAGGAGAGAAATCATATGCTGTGGTCAAATGAAAGGCTCTGGGACTGAATGTAATCACACAGTCTCTCCCAGCACATCACACAGGAATCATTTAGCGTGCGCTCTTATTGTAGCCGGGCCGATTTGTTCTCAAGCTAAAACTCCAGTGCGAATGCTCTAATAGGCTAATTACCTACCTATGGCGTCCAATCACATCTGTTAGACATGTAGAACCTCCTGCTGTGGCCAGAGTGAAATCTGAATATGAGATCACTGTAGAAATCATTTTTAATTTAGCTATTAACGTGATACAGTTGAAGGGGCACAGGCCTACGTGGTATTACAATGGCATGATTCACCTCAAGTGGCCCTATCTCACAATGGGGAAGGGTTTGTATGGTCAGAAATCTCCTGTTTGATTAGGAACCTCATGGACTAAACAGAACCTCTCTAGTATCTACTATTATATTATTTTTTGTGCTTTCACTTTACCCATTTCTGCATAAAAAACAAGCCACCGCAGTATGCTCTATGACTGGCTTGTGAATTAAACAATGTGGAAAAAATATACAATAAAACATGAATAGGTACTAAATAAAGGCCAAAGCACGCATTTAAAATATTTTTATTAATTATTTTTATTAATGCATGTAAAGGGTAATGATTGGAGGTGCTTTAGCGCTGTTGACGCCTGGGCCCCCTCCACTGCTCATTTTCTTTGTCGGTTTGATCTCCACCAACATCATTACAAATGGTTTGAGTCAGTTTCAACTTCTCATTGGCTTTTCTGGTGTTGGCCAGCTCTTGTTTGAGGTGGACAGTGTCTGCCACTGTATTCTTATACAGACATCTTCTTTCCTTGGTTTTCCAGCTCTTTCTTTTTTTTTTCAGGAGGTTAGCTTTGAGCTCTTTTAACTCCAAGTCGTTTTCATTCATTTTTTCCCCGACTCTTTTGGAGTTTGCAAACTCTTGCCTGAGTTGCACATGCTCCTGTACTTTAGCATTATACAAGCAGTGGATCTGCTTATGTGTGTTCTCTAGGTCTTGTAGTTGCTTTTCATTCTTCTGGAGAGTTGCAGCAAGTTTTTGCAACTCCAAGTATTTTTCATTAGACTTTTCTATGACTTCATTGGAGGTGGCCAGCTTTTGTATTAGCTGCACATTTTCCTGTATTATAGAAGTATACAGGTCATGGAGCCTTTTATGTGTGCTAACTTCTTGTAGTTGCTTGTCCTTCTACTGAAGAGTATCAATGAGTTTTTGCAACTCCTTTCCCATGAATTCTTTGGAGTCGGCAAGCTCTTGTTTTAGTTGCTCATTTTCCTGTTTTTTAAAATCATACAGGTACTGGAGCATGTCATTTGTAGTAAATAGCTCTTGGAATTATTTGTCCTCCTCCTGAAGAGCATTAGTGAACTCCAAGGGCTTTTCTTTGGCCATCTTTCCCTCAGTCTTAAACTTGCAGTCCAAAACTAAGTTTTTTTTGGCCTGATCGGCAAGCTGGGCCCTTGTCCGCTCCAACTCTACACGCAGCTCTCCGACAAGAGCGCTGCTCTCCAGGGGTGGAAGTTCCTGGACCAGACTTATTTCCTCAGGGTTTGAGGAGTCCTGGATGTTGGGAGACACCTGGGTCTCCATTGGCTTCTGAATGCCCCCTGTTGGTGTGGGGCAGAACAGAGCCTCCAGGTCGAAGTCCTCGTCGTAGAGGTGGGCATCATCCTCTAATGTATAGAGGTGCCAGGGCTTTGAGGAGTGTTGTGTGTCCATGTTTGTGTGCATCTTCTCCAGTGTCCTGAGAAGTTGTGAGCCAAAAGTGGCTCACAACTCACAAAAGCCACATTCACCCAATTTGAAAACCCCATGTATTATGTGATTTATTATAAACATTTATAAGTGTCCTTTTTCTACACATTCGCCTGCTTCCCACTGCAAAGTGGGGTTGGGACAATAAACTATAAAAGCACTAATTGTTATGAAAAAGATGAAAGGTGGAAATCATTTTTAATTTAGCTATGAGCATGATGCGCTTCAGGGGTCACAGGCCTACATGATATTACA